TGGATACACAGGAACTTACAGAGGTTTAATGTGTGTTCTATAGCTGCTTTATGCAGGCTTTTATGTTGATTTGTTTCGTTTAAAAAATTACTGAGTATTTTATTGTGGTTGTTTTATCTTAGTATGTCATTTGGAATAATTCATTATAGACAGGTGATGGGCAAATAAGAAAATAAATAACTCAATTTCCCTCACAAAGGTATCTTAACTGTTCTGATATTTTCACAACATGGAAGGAGCTCCTTGGAGAGGAAGAGATCCCAGGGAAGACATGATCACAAACTTGGCTCTTGAATCAGCCAGACTGACTCCTTCTATACCACAGCAGCCATGAAAGACTGCTAACTGCCTGTAAGAGAGCATCAGGGGAATGAGGGAGACAAGGACGCCATCACACCAGTTCAGTGTTGCGTCTTTTGTCTTTCCCTTCCCCTACGTTCTGATGAGTGCTGACATGGATAGCCTGATCTTATCAGCTCTTGAAGGCTAAGCAGGGTTGGCTGTAGTTTTTGAACGGGAGACTACCAAGGAATACAAGGGTCGCTATGCAGAGGGAGGCAATGGCAACGCATCTCTGAATGTCTCTAGCCTTGAAAACCTCAGGGGGTCACAATAAATTGGCTGCAACATGACAGGGGGAAAATCTGATGAATTAAGTCCTCTCCATGAGGGAAAGGAGTTTCTGGAGAGGAGGGGTATTTCTTGTTTATGATATTGTTTTGTTTTTATTTTTAGTTCAGCATTTCAAAATTCTGCTTTTCAACTTATTTTTTCCTCTCCTCTCCCCACCCTCCACCTTCTCTTCATGTATTCCATAATCTTGTGACTGTAAATTTTAAACTGTAAGGTTTTTTAATGGAATTGTAGTATTTTATGAATGCTGGGAACCACTTTGGATCCCACTTTGGTTAAAATGTGGGATACGGTCTAAAAACAGATATAAAGCTGACATTTCAAAAACAAAAAATTTTAAAAGGTTACTAGGAACTACTAGAAAATGCATAGCTATTTAGGTAAATTTCTGGGTAAAAATTATGACTTTGGGAGACTTCCAGTTTAATGACGACACGCTAGCGGACACATTCCCTGGACCTCCCGGGGAGGTGATCCACGCGCCAGTGGTTCGGAGGGAGGGCGATTATTCACACCTCCCCTGGAGCCTTGGTGAAAGTCTCCTAGCCATGGGGCTTCTGAGAAGTGGCCTCTTTGCCAGCGCAATGCTGGAGAATTGAGGTGCTCCTCCGCCCCGACAGTCCGGCCATTGGGCATCCAAATGGAACTAGAGATGCCGACCGGGACAAGTGTTAGAGATCAGGCGTTGCAAATGTACCTGTGGCGAGGTCTCTGGACCACCAATGAACAGTCGAGTTTAACGCAAACACTAGGATTATGAAAGAAAGCCCCTCGGGATCGGCGATACTAGCAAGCAGGGGAGGGTCTCCTCCCATACACATGAGTAAAGCAGCAATCTCCCAAGGGAGGGCCGAATTATAAGCGTTAAAATCTGTTTTGAAGAGCACACGAGAGCATGAATAAGCGCCCGGCCAAATTGCAGAGACTTTAGCAAAACTTTTAAGAAGAAGAAGAGATTGGATTTATACTCCGCCCTTCACTTGGAGTCTCAGAGCGGCTTACAAACTCCTTTCCCTTCCCCTCCCCACAACAGACACCCTGTGAGGTGGGTGGGGCTGAGAGAACTCAGACACAAACTGCTCTTTTTCAAGGACAGCTGTGCCAGAGCTTGTGACTGACCCAAGGTCACATCTGTAGGTGCAAGTGGAGGAGTGGGGAATCAAACCCGGTTCTCCCAGATTAGAGTCTGCACACTTAACCACTACACCAAACAATCCATAAAAAGGGTGCTGAGAAAAGCGGAGAAAGAACGGCAGGCGAAAATGAAACTGGCTGGAAGCACGAGCCCCCGACCGGAAGATACCACAGAGTTTTCTAAGCTGCTAGCGGACTCTTTGCACCCTCTACTGGATCAGATGACGAATATCAATCAACAGCTGACAACATTAAACGAGAACTTTGCAGCTCAGCAGCTCCGACTGTATGAAACTACCAAAAAGATGGAGCAAACAGCTGAGAAGATGAAGGAAATGGATGCCAAAGCCAAAAAGGTTAATAAAAGGGTGCAGTTACTGGAAAAGAAGCAAGTTTCTGACAAATCTCAGCTTATGCAACTACAAATGGAAAAAGCCAACCTAGTTCTCGGGTTCCAAGGTGTCTTTTGAGTGATGCACTTGCCCCAACTGCAGATTTAAAAGTGGACTACCTTATAAGTGAAATGGATATGGCTTATAGAGCCTACTCTGTATACATCCATACATTGCCTGGGGAAATAGTGGTAAGATTCTCAAAGAGACATGTGCGGGATCAAATATTGAAAGCAACATCAGGAGCACCCTTAAAAATTGGAGACACCACCATCAGAATTCTAAAAGATATTCCTTTTGAAATAATAAAAAAGAGACAGAAATATAAGGATTTCTTTCTGCACTGAGAACTTCAGCCCCCCAGAAAAAAAAACTGCCCCACAATCCACAAAATCCTGGCTACGGACCTGGGTACTGGTAAATATCAGTCGGCACCAGGGTGCCCACAGGCACCACACTGGGGATCCCTGCATTATACTGTTTCCATAATATTCTCTAGAATCAGGTGTCTATGTACACACACAAAAATAGAAACAAAAACCACAAAAACCTCAGATGTGGAGCAACAACAACTAAATAGCAGCACAATCGATAAAGTGGGACACATTCAAATGCACATGGCAGAGATAGAATAGAGAAGAAGAGATTGGATTCACTACTCAAAGGAGTCTCAGCATGGCTTACAAACTCCTTTCCCTTCCCCTCCCCACACCAGACACTCTGTGAGGTAGGTGGGGCTGAGAGAACTCAGACACAAACTGCTCTTTTTTCAAGGACAGCTGTGCCAGAGCTTGTGACTGACCCAAGGTCACATCAGCAGGTGCAAGTGGAGGAGTGGGGAATCAAACCCGGTTCTCCCAGATTAGAGTCCACACACTTAACCACTACACCAAATGGGCTCTCAGGGAGCCAGAGATGAACCCTCCGGCCATTTAGCCAATAGGGAGATGAACCTTCCTGCATCTGTGCTTTTCTTCAATTTTGAAGTGTGCCTAGAAGATAATATATCTTCTAGGCACAGGTTTCAAGGATAGCAATGTGACTTTAAAACAAAGAGCAAGTCAGGAGAGAAGGTTCAGCACATACCATTCTTGCAAATCTATAAGAACATAAGAGAAGCCAATGTTAGATCAGGCCAGTGGCCCATCCAGTCCAACACTCTGTCACACAGTGGCCAAAAATACCAGGTACCATCAGGAGGTCCAGCAGTGGGGCCAGGACACTAGAAGCCCTCCCACTGTTGCCCCCCCCCCAAGCACCAAGAATACAGAGCATCACTTGCCCCAGACTGAGAGTTCCTATCTATGCCTTGTGGCTAATAGCCACTGAGGGACTTCTGCTCCATATACTTACGGTATCTAATTCCCTCTTGAACCCTTCATGCTTGTAGCTGCCGCCACCACCTGTGGCAGTGAATTCCATGTGTTAATCACTTTGGGTTTTCTTTTTTAAAAAATTCTTGCTTTTCTTTAAAATCTCTTCAGTGTTTAAAACACATGATTGGATGAAATAATCCAATGACCCTGCAAATGAGGATGGTATTACCCTACTGCTGTAAATCATGGGTAGAAGATAATGCCTAGAAGATAATGGTTTAACAGTCAAACCACATGTTACATTTGTCATGTGTTCTCTACAGTGACTGCCAACCATATGCAAGTTGCCAGAAGAATTTCCTCTAAAAGTGCCACAGGGTCCCCCAATTCTAGTCATGAAGCAGCGTGGGGAGAGGTGGGACTCTTGTCCTCCTCAGCTCCATTCACGTAATCAAAAATGGAAGGAGGCATTATCTGCCCCGTCTGCCAGTGGCTGTGGGGAACACGTCACATCTAGTTCAACCCTACGCTCAGAGCTGAATTAATATGAACCAGAAACTTCACAGCACATAACTTGTTACCTGGCACTACTGCACATTATCCAGGCTCACCAAATTATTCACTTATTATTATACTATTCACTATAAGTTTATTCAGTATAAGTTTATTTATTCACTTATTGAGTATCTTGAATTTTTCTTTATCAGAGGACTGTATCTACTACCTAAAATTAAAGGGAGACCCACATGTATAATCAACTCTTTCAGCTTTTATTTGGAAGAAAAAATTACCCCCAACTTAAAAACTGCCATCTTACATTTCAGAATACAAATCTGAAAAAGCTATAAAAACTAAGGTAAGTCTTCAGCCTAGTAGACAGCCCCTTATTGCTGTAATTTTAACCCACGTCCCCTTCAAACTTTGCATTTTGGTCATTTGGTTTTAAGAATTCAAAAGGGTTTGAATACTGTTTACACACTAATAAATGCTCCATAATGTAAGCATGATTATACAACAGGAACAACCATGGTCTTTTCACTCAATCTATATTAAGTTACACTCCTTGAGAAATAAACATTTACGATAAATACAGTTCAGCTGGAAACTATTAACAGCAGCATTAAAGTGCTATCACAAAACTCCATGAAAAATTAGATGGCATATGTAAACCAAACCAATCCTTTACTTGCACATAAGGGTCCGCCCCAGTATATTACTTTACAGCATTGTTCCATACATATAGTTCTATGTGGCTGCATTCTTCTCCCATACGGAACCCAAAAGATTTTCTATTTATTGTTAAAGAAAATTAGAGTGATACAAATATCCTGTTTGAAAGTCTCGATAGCAACTGAAGCACCTGAGTTAAGTCTTTACAAACATGGTTTTGCAAGAAAGATTCAATGAATATATCCACAACTTTGTATGAATCTAAACACTTTCTTACAAAATGTGTTATTAGAAATATACCAGATGAACATATAACCATACAATAGCAAAAGCCTTAAGCCCCATTAATATGATTTTTGATTAAAAATAGAAGGCAATTAAGATGTACTCAAAAGTTGCAATAAGAAAAGCTTTCACAGTATAATACTGAGACTGTCACAAAGTTAAGAAAATACTGATATCAAAGGTACAAACAATCACAATGTTCATAGACAAAAATTACTATACAAGGAAATTTTGTAAAACCAAAAGAAAATGCCACCAACACTCAGGACATATTGCATCCTCTGTGTGTGTTCAACTGGTTGCCTCATCTTCAGAGTTTTGCTTGTTTTGTCGACTGTAGAAATCCTTAATAGTCAGTTCTTCTTAGGTATCTGGTCCGTAATTTCCAACTGCTCTCTAGCTTGGGACATTCTTTGTCACTGAACAATTTCAAAATAGTGCAATATTGCCATAATATGCTGAGGCATGAACACATAGCCAGTGTAAAGTGCCATTCCAAGGATGGACACTAACATGGAATCTGAATGACAGTAAAGGAAAACCATTACCACATGTCAACAGTGCACTAAAATTCATAATACAAGACAGTTCTGAAAAGAATGATAAACATGCATCTATTTAGTCAGCCATAGTCAATTGGGGGAGAGGAGGTACATTCTTTCCTTGGCCTGTTTCATTCATTTGCATTCCATATTTTTAGGCAGATGGAATTTTTCCTTGTGAAAAATAAGAAGTGGTGTACATATATGGCATCAACTAGTTAACATTACAACTACTTGATATTGTTTAGATTTGATTTTTCTCAGAGGATCTTCTATAACCACCCATTGTTAAAGGCAAGGCAGGTGGTTACCAGAAACAGTCTATTCTCTATTGACACACCTCATTATGGAACTCCCTTCCTGCTCTCTTTTACCTGATACCTATTTTTGGGCATCAAGTGAAATGCTTTATTTGCTCAGGTCTTAACTTCCACCAAGCCTGTCCCCAGCAACTCCTCCTCCATCCGTGGATATGACAGGGGGTTGGGACAGGACCCTTACTAGGGCTGTTTTGGCCTTCACCCGTTTCCCCCCAAGGCTTGGAAAGCTCAGCAGCAATACTGTTGTAGTTGCCTAGCAACTTCCCAAATGGCCACTGAGAGTGCAAAATGATCTGCCAGCAGTGAGTCATTAAACCCCTAAATGGAGAAAAAAGCAAAACACTTGAGTGGTGAGAGGACCCTCTACTTTTTCTCTTCCCACACCGTCATTTCAGAAGAAATAAAGACTTCTCCTCCAACCCATCCTGCTCTGTTGACCCATATGGGGAAGAACAAGGGCGGGGAGGGGAGTCTGAGGTTTAATACTTGGAGAGAGCTTCTCGGCCTTTTGGCTGAGATCAAGTGTGTGGAGAGAGCAAGTGCCCTCTACAACCCAAATCTGGCTGGGAAACCCTGCCTGCTGCCTGCTGCCTGCTGCTGACCACTAATTCCAAAGAGTGAATGTTTGACAATAGCATTTTAACTAAACTCACCATTTGCTAGGTGATCAGCAACAAATGCCCCTGCTGACTAGAAGAAGAAGAGTTGATTTTATACCCCACTCTTCACTACTCAAAGGAGTCTCAGAGCAGCTTACAATTGCCTTCCCTTCCTCACCCCACAGCAGACACGCTGTGAGGTAGGTGGGGCTGAGAGACTTCTGAGAGGACTGTTGACTGGCCCAAGGTAACCTATCTGGCTTCATGTGGAGGAGCGGAGAATCAAACCTGGTTCTCCAGATTAGAGTCCGCTGCTCTTAACCACTACACCAAGCTGGCTCTGACTAGAACCAGGAGCCCTAGAAGTACACCACATAGTCATGCGGGTGGCAGTTGTGACTATCGCCCTTTCACATGGCCAAATGGTGTACACAAAGTGAAGTAGAGTGGACATGCTGCATCATGATTATTTCTGTAAGTCAGTATCAAAGTAGCATGACATAGTGAGTTGGCACCATTAGTAATTATACCAAATTCATCACTATTAGTAGGTGATGACATTCATGAGTATGCAATGCTGCTGGGGGGGAAATGGAAGATAGACACAGCAAGGACAAAAGAAGCTGATAACGTGCAATATGATTTTTTTACTACTAACACACTGTACTGGGAAACAGGCTGCGCCAGTTTCTTGCTCTCACTTATCAGGGCAATAGGTGACTAAAATTTGCACTCGTATGAACTCTACTGCAAAATAGAGTCATTATTATTATTAATAGGCAACCTTAAAGGTAAAGGTTTCCCTTGCTCGAAAGCCAGTCAAATCTGACTCTAGGGGGCAGTGCTCATCTCAGTTTCCAAGCTGAAGAGCCAGTGCTGTCCAAAGACTTCTCTGTGGTCATGTGGCTGGCATGACTAAACACCGAGGTGCACGGAATGCTGTTAGCTTCCCACCGAAATGGTACCTATTTATCTACTTGCAATTTCTTGCTTTCGAACTGCTAGGCTGGCAGGAGCTGGGGACAGACATGGGAGCTCACTCCATCACGCGGCACTAGGGTCTCGAACTGCCGAACTACCGACCTTCTGGTCTGCAGCTCAGTGTCTTAACCTCTGAGCCACCGCTGCCCCAATAGGCAACCTTGCCCTATGCTTAATGATTTTACATCCTACAGATACAATTCTAGTATAAACATACAATATGCATATTTAAAGGGGTTTCTCCATCGTGGCACCAAAACTTTGGAACTCCCTCCCCATGGAGATTCATCTGTGTTCTTCTATCATTGTTTTTTGCCAGCAGACTTTGTTTCATCAGGCATACCCCAAAAAACAATTATTGACCCTCCTTCTGGTATTATTCATGTGTTTTTAATTGGATTTTGTATTTTAACTGTATTTTAATTGTTTAAATATCTGAAGGTTTTTTTATGTTCACCGCCCTGTGGACCCTGATTGGGTGGAAAGGCAACATAAAAATGTTCTACATAAATAAATAAATAAATAAAAAATAGCCTTGTCAGCTAACCTTGATAGCAGCTCTCTCGGGTCATTATTATTATTACTTCTTACTGTTTTTGCAACCAAAGTAATAAACAGCAAGCTCTCGGGTAATTAATGATTTGACTCCACGAGTACATACACTTTGAGAGGGATTAATTGATAGGCAAGTACACAAGAAGCTGACAAAGTGCAATATATTTTACTACTAATACACTGTACTGGGGAACAGGCTGCACCAGTTTCTTGCTCTCACTCATCAGGGCAGTAAAATTTGTACTCATACGAACATCCTGAAGAGAGGCAGCTGGTTACAAAAACCTTCAAGGACGTGATTCAGGTTGTACCGGGACATGATATTCAGGTTGTACCAAAGTCAACTGATGATGGCAAGCAGAATTTCTATAGGACTATGCTTCAGTAACAGTAACAGTGAAGAATTCTTTCTTCTCCACCATCGCTACATGTGCAGCCTGTCATTTGGAAGAGATGAATGGGATGAACCGTTCCAAGCTGACTGATGCTAACAGAGAATGAATTTTCATCTGCCTGCTATAATGGTAGTCCCTCCCCCCTTATTTTAAAAAAAGAAAGATTTTTCAAGACCTATCTGCTATGATGGGAATACAATTTACCATAAAACAAGAATTAAATTATGAAATAATTTTACCACAAAACAGCTACACACTATGATTCCTTATGGATCATTTCAAGAACTGCCAAGAGAAACAACGGATTCAATAATAATGCCAGAGGCAGAAAAGTAATGTAGTCAGAACAAAGGCAAGTTCTCAGTTCCAATCTACAGTAGTTTTTAGTTTATCTGTAAGATTTTTATCTCTCTTTCGGCAAGTGGCAAGTATAACACTAGGGAAATACCCCCAAAATAATTCAAGTGTAATAATTTAAGGAAAGGTGTGCTCTTGGTAGATCAGATAGAGCACATGGTATGATTACTGTAACACAACAATGTAACAGTAGAAAAGAGTCCAGTAGCACCTTAAAGACTAACAAAAATTGTGGTAGGGTATGAGCTTTTGTGAGCCACTGCTCACTTCTTCAGATACAACAATGTAATGCCCTTTTCGATTCACAGTGGTCCCATCTATCGGACAGCACAGCTACATTTGCTTCAGATGCTAACTCTGGAGAACTTCTTATGCTGCTGCAACTGGCCTTCACATACAGACTTCTAGCCCAACCCAGCAAGAGCAATCTTTTGACATAAGGATCAGCTATGCAAAATGTTGGCCTGGGGTGGGAAACCAACGCTATGCCTAGTACTAGAGTAATGGATACACCCATGAAGAAGTCTGTTTTGTAGAAGTATGGATGAACCAATTTCAAAGTTAAATGCCCCTTAGTTTAACATCCATGGCTTGGATCCTAAGCAGAGCACACAGAAGGGAATTTTCCAATCTCCCCAACTCTTCTCTTGCAGTTTGCAAGTCTGCAGCTGCTCCCAGGGGTTAGTGAATCCTAGGGTAATGATATGAGGACTAAAGTGAAAATCTGCAGTGGAAGAGCGCTAACACCCCCTCCCAAAGAAATAAGTACAAGCAGAAAAGCAGATTAGAGTCTAGGCCTATATTGAAGTAAGCAAACCATAAAGGTTATAAAATAAAGCATAAAGGAATTCTCAATTCTGACAACAAGTTCTTAAAAGACCAAAGAGAAAAGGAATATTCTGTAATGAAAAGCCAGTATTAAGA